GGGAAAATTTGACTCAAATGGTGTTGTTGCTGCATATTTGGAAGAGAGATTGAACATGGGAGTTAATTTTCTTCTTTCTGCAGAGGTATTAGTTGTATTACAGTTCAGGCTAACCTGCTCTATTCTTACCACTGTATTTATACTCCCTCTGATCATAAAAGTATCATATTCGCAACTTTGAACTATAATTTCTATTACAAAATGTTCGAAAAACCAGATAAACTTATAATACTATATTAAGGGAGTGTTTGAGAGGAGAAAGGAGAAGATTGAGAAGATACGTAAAACGAGATGAGTCATTAGCGTATGATTAGTTAAGTATTAATTATTTTAAACTTCAAAAATGGATTAATATGATTTTTTAAAATAACTTTCCTATAGATTTTTTTTTTAAAAAAATACACCGTTTAATAGTTCAGGAAGCGTGCACGCGGAGAACAAGAGAAATCTTCTCTCTTTGTCCCTGGCTCAAAGGCAGCCTAAGTAACGCTTGAGATAAATCTAACATATAGTTTTTATACATCCAATCTAAATAATTTTATAGGAATAAGTCTACATAGTCCCCCATGACCAAAACAAATGTTCTCATGACCAGATGAAGTATATATTTTTTGTTAACAAGAAGTGAGTTTTTCAGATTAGTGACTTTTGTGAACTTATGTTATGTGGTGCAGATTGACCATTCAAAGAAGAACTACAAGTTTGGTTTTGGAATGACCGTAGGAGAGTAAAATATGTTAACTGGAATGGTCGTGACTTGTGAGAGGACATGTGGTACTTCTGCGGTTGGCTGTATGCCCCTTGGAAGGATGTTCACATACTTCAAGCTTCGTGTTACGAGTGACCAGGTTCTTGCCCTTCTGAGTTGTGAATGGGAATATAGGAACGCTGTTGCTACTTTTACAGTCTTTTTTTGGCGTGATGGAGGTTGTCTCATTTTGGTTGCTAGATAAAAAGGGCATTAGGGGAGGGTAGTACATGATTCTTTGTTCAATCTTGGATGGAGCAAGCTGAATAGTGTTAATAATGTTGTACTGTCTGGCAAAATTTTACCCCGAGTGTCCGACGCTCGTCCTTTTTGTGTAATAGTAACACCTTGCACGAGCTGCAGAAGATAGCATTTAAAGTCATCTCATGTTTGATGTCCTCACGCGCATCCTATGTTCATAAATTGTAAGCCATTTGCGGTCTGCTGAACAAGTTATTGCTACCGACTGATGCACCTATTTTTGTTAGTGTAATATACATTTTTTGTTTGTTAGTGCATAAAAGGTATTAAAATTGCGTACCCGCCTTATGTGCATGATCAATCCTAAACATATGATGATGTTCTGCTAATCTATACGCTAATTTACTTGACCTATCAAGAAGGACGAGCTATTGAGCTAACCCTGACAATAGCCTAGCAAGTAATATTTCTACAAGAGAAACTTATTGGTCACAACTGGAGTTCGAGAAAAAATATGACTAACGACTGTAGACAACGTTTTATCGCCAAAGATATTTTTGGCACCTCAACACTTTACAACATCCATTTTTAATTTTAATCGGCTGTGTTACTCAATGAACTTCTAAACCGGACAAATATAATTATGATTGCATTAACATCATTTATAGGTATCCAAGGAACAAATATATCAGCGAAGGCAATACAGCGAGGACGGACAACAGCTTCGCTCTACTCACCAACCAATGGCATGATTATGCAATAATGTAGTCGGGTTTAGGCCACATGCGTTGCAAACCCGAAATATGAGAAAAAAAATCAACAAGAATGCAATTATATAATACTCCTTATTACTTACAAACATGACAAGTTATACTGCCATGCCATAAACAGCAAGGAGTGAAAATAACATGTCACCCGTGGAAGACGCCACGAAGGCAGCAATTCGTCCATAGATGAAGTTCATAAATTTGGGATCTAGAAGCATGGCAATTTCTAGCACAAACTAATATGATAAAACATTGTATGGAGTAGTAAATATTTATATACCTATACTTCATATCAGGGCAATTTTTAGCAGAATCTAGTGTGATAAACCATTGTGTCATCTGCGGGGTAGAGAAGGAAGATATTTCACATGCTTTGTGTCGTTGCCCACATGCAAAAGCGCTTTGGATGTCAATGAGGGAGGCAGGACATATTTCACAGGAAGCCAATTCTGCAAACACAGGTATGGCGTGGCTCTTTGATACTCTTCAATTCATCCCAAATTCAATCCCTAAACAAATGATGTCTCTAATGGTGTTTTGGCGAATCTAGCATGTATGAAATGAAATCACTCACGGCAAATCGGCACCACCGGTGGCTGTCTCGCAGAGGTTTATCAAGAGCTACATCGACACTCTACTCCAAATCAAGCAACACCCTCAAGCAGATATGGAGAAGGCGAAGCATGTGGTGAGCTATGTCAATATGTCATACAACGTGCTACGAGATTGATGCTGCCTGACATAGGACCGGTTCAGAAGTGGGAGAAACCAAGAACAAGGTGGATGAAGCTGAAATTGATGGGTCTTTTGAAGCTCAGGATGATCGGGGAGGAATTGGAATGATCCTAAGAGATAGTGCTGGCCAAGTTATTTTTACATCATGGCACTCTCTGGATTATTGCACCGAGGTGCTGGAAGCTGAGTTTTTAGCATCCAAAGAAGGTTTATCCCTAAGGATCCAATGGATGCGCCTGCTAATTGTCGTAGAGACGGACTGCAGTACGGTGGTACAACTTCTTCAGGCCAAAACCAGCGATAAGTCGGGACTAGCTTATATAGTCAAAGAGGCAAAGGAGCTCATGACGGGACATAGGGAAATAGTGCTCAACAAAGTTCACCGAAGCAAGAATAATATTAGTTCTAATAGGGCTCGTTGTGAGTCCTTGTTGGTATTCTAGCCTGGAGCTAGCATTATTAAAGAACTTTAAAATATGAATATGTGTGACACTAAATATTGTTAGTTTAACAATTATTCAAAAGTTACGAATATTGACTTTACGAAAAATATGGACACGTTATATTATTTTATGGGAGCTGTTATATTACAGGATTCCGATTAGACAGTATGATATCATGCATGTATCGAATTCTGATACCCTATTAGTACCTACTAATACTTGTCAATATCAAATATGATACCCTGCCGGTATCAATATCAAATCTGATACCCTACCGGTATCAGTTGATACTTGTTAGTACTAGCTGATACTTATCGGTATTAAATCGGATACCCTATTGGTATCAACCAATACTTATCTGTACCAGCTGATACTTGTCCGTATCAGATCTGGTACTCTATCGTATCAACCGATATCTATTGGTACCTACTAATACCCAATCAATACTAGGCCGATATCCTTTCCCTCTCCCTTGATCCCTTTTCGGGCGATGACGACATTCTCCTCACCGATGCCTCTCTCCTCTCCGGCGAGGTCGATGTGCTCCCCAGCGATACAGAACCATTCTCCTGCAAGACCCTATTCCCCCACCCTCCTCTCTGGCAATGAGCTCCCCGGCAACGCAACAAGGCGGTGCGGGCCTCTTCTTAGAAAACGTACTTTGGTGGCACGACAAGGCGGTTAGGCCCTTCTCAAATGAACTCCCATTCTGCAGCAACGTCCGATGACGTGCTCCCTGGTGACCGAGCGAGGTGGGCATGGGTCTCTTCTCCGGCGAGTCCCTTCCACTTCTCCAGTGATATGCTCCTTGACGGAGCAACGAGGCAAGGCGTTCTCCGCTGCCACATTCCCAATGCCGCACTGCTCTTTTTTTGCATGCTTGATGCCTGTGCTATAGGGGACAAGGCACACAATCACGGAGACGATATCATCGCGGGTGCTTGGGATGGGATTCCATCCCCTAGCATTCTCCTTTCTTTATATCCATGAAGTGATAAGATAAAATCTTAGGGACATCAAAATAATTTCACGTTAATCTTTGTATCTACTAAAGCTCCTTAGAAATACCTAGGTCCTCTTTGATTTGTAGAAAAACATAAAAATTTTAGAGGATTTCTATCGTATAGGAAATTTCCTATCAAATCCTTTGAAATGATGGATTGAATCCTATCATATCATTTGAAATTTCTACGGATGGACAATTCTATAGAGATTTTGGAGAAAAGTTAGCAAGAGTTCAAACCTTTTGGAAAATTTTCTGAGTATCTCTCTCATGCGATTTCTGCATTTTTCCTACTTGAAACGATTGTTTATGTGTTTTTCCATGAGTTTTACAATCATCTGTTTTGAACTTAAATTCCTGTCAAAATCCTATATTTTTCTATTTGTTTGTTTGTCAATACCACGTTTAAAAGGAGCCATTATATTCCGTGGATAGAGGCCATGTGCTGCTCCGGCAATTCTTTCTCTACATCGTTCTCACGCTGCAACCATCTTGGAAGCCCTCTCTACTAGGCTCCTCCGACATTGGTGTCAATTCATGGTGGTCCCCTACATTCGCCTGTGCGGTATTGGCAACCCCGTTGCACGCGTTCATCCTGAGTTGTCTCTAGGTCTGGCAAACCCGATGTGACGTCTCGTCCTTCATGGTTCGACAACATCGACTCTTCGGCGTCATCTTCCTTAACAACTGCAGCATCACGTCATCGTCATCGTCTTCAACACGTCCTCGCTCACGACCACTCTACGGTGCCCCATGCACACCCTGCGGCTCGGCTATCTCGACATCATTGGCTCCCCGATTTCGACTACATCGACCACAACTACTTTACACATGGCTTCATCGATCATGGGTCCCTCATGTCCTTCGCTTTGGTTATGTCGAGTATGGCACAAAGGGTTATCATCCGTATTGAGCACTCTCGTCTTTCTTCTCTAGTCTAAGTGTTCACGTTGCTCACGCTTGGACTGTGGGGGATGTTAGAATACATGGATAAGATCGTATTGTATCCGATTTGTTGTGATATGATAGGATTAGTTTTCATCTCTATCTTTCTGAGTTTACTTAAGATACAATCCATATATATATATATATATATATATATATACCCCTGAGACTCAATACAACGTGTCCAATATTTACAGTATTCCCCTCTCTCTCTCTCTCCCTCTGTTATTCAACAATTATTATCCGTTTATATTTTCCAGTGAAGTATGGCTTGACGAGATGTACCCGAACTAGCGTTGATGGCCCCCAAGCTGTTGTAGATGGAGTATATGTAGTACCACACATACCCCCGTCACTCGGCGCACGCACACGAACACAAAAACACACAGCCGCACACGCACGCTCGCCGCGCTCCCCATCTCCACATGTCAAACACATATCAAGAAGCACAAGAATCGGCGCCATGGCTATGATTATGCTGCCCGCGGCCTCGGCCGCCGCCGCTGCCTCCGTTTTGGCGCTCCTCGTGCTCACCTCGCTGCAGCCGCGCGCGGCGCGGGCGCAGGTAGCGTCCTCGCCGTGGGCGGCGCCGGCGCCCTGGCCCGGCGAGCTCGACTGCACGGGCGCGCTGCTGAACCTCTCCTCGTGCCTCACCTACGTGGAGTACCGGAGCACGCTGACCCGGCCGGACAAGGGCTGCTGCGGCGCGCTCGCGGGCGTCGTCGACGGCGAGGCCGCCTGCCTGTGCGGACTCGTCGGCGGGTACGGCGCGTACGGGGTCCGCGTCGACGCCGTCCGCGCCCTCGCGCTGCCCACCATCTGCCGCGTCGACGCGCCCCCGCCCAGGCTCTGCGCCGCGCTCGGTGTGCCCGTCGCCGAGCCGCCGGGCGGCGCCGTGCCGGAGGAGTCAGGTACGACACGGCCGCCCTCTGCCGCGTGCAATCAATTAAACGGAGCTGTCGTAAATTGACCGCCTTTGCTACACCTTTTCCGTTTCTTTTTGCAATGTGGAGTTTAAATGCACAACCTTTAATTTGTTGAAAATTGCATGCTAATCAAAGACCTGTAGTTTACTAGATTCTTATACTACACATACTCCTCCCGTAAAAAACTAAGTTAGTACTGGATGTGACACTATCTAAATTCATTAATAGCATAATGTATCCTATATAATCTTAATATTTGTTTTTTTTGGAACGGAGAGAGGACGTTGTTACTAGTAGCTCAAAACTATCAAATCATTTGCATCTTTAATTTGACAAACTCCCGTTAGGAATCAGTACTCCTGGCTCCACCTCCACCTATTCCATTGTCAAATCAACTGTCATCTAGCACTAGCACGCGATACAGCAGAATTTTACTCCACTGTATGTAAAAATCGAGTTTTCTGAAGTAGTGAAGAGCAAAGTGAATCTACGTAATCAAGTAGGTGTATCAGATAATGTGATTATGTTTGTACTGTTAGTGATATATTCAGTGGCTAGAACTTTCAAGGAATCAAAATATTCGACCGAACCACCACCCTTTTTGGGTAGCCGAATGTCGGCACTGCCAAAATTAAAGCAGCACGGCAAGAAAATGTCTGATCAAATTTCTCATGTATACTTGTTTCACACGGCGAGATTTGACTGTACTGACAATGTCTCAAACATCCGGCAGGGTTGTCCGGCGGCATGCCGGCCAACGCACCGTCAACGGCGGCCACCGGCAGCAGCGGCGGCGGCGGTCCGGCGACGCACCGACCCACAAGACGCCACCTGATTCTTCTTCTGCTGCTCCTGGTGTTCCCCGCTTCGCTGCTGCTCCTGTAAAACTACCCCGTCACACCGGCAAGCAGCACACATCTGACCTGTACATGCATGTACACCGTTCGTCGATTCAATTCCTCTCAGAATTCTTCCGTGACATTGCCCACGGCTTAGATCGCGTCATCGCCGCGAGCAGCGTCCGCCATGCCCGATGCCACCCTCGTCCGGTGGGTGGCGCGTGATGGCGACGCCCGAGCGAGCTAGCGGAGCCGAGCCGAGCAGCTTCGGCGCGGGGGAGCAACCGACCGGGGCAGCAAGACGCGTGACATGGTTAACGCCGCCTCGGCTAGCAGGCTAGGTGGTTGGTGCATCGCGCGCGCGCGGGCACGGGCGGCATGTGAGCCTGCGAGCTGTGGCCGCTGCTGCTACTCTGCTCGCTGTGTGGATCGCCAGCGATCGGTTGCTGCGGTGCGCGTGTGCCATGCCATCGGCAGCCAGCGATGCGTGTACAATACACACACGGCCTCGCGGGGAACAGCGTGGTACGGGGGCAAGGGGGCCTTGCGTGCACGCCGTCGATCGTGTATTCGTGTGAGTATGTGACCTGGTTTTGTGCGTTTCGGCCGTGCCTGCGTTGCCTGGCTGGCTCAGGTACGGTGGGGCTGCGCCGGCGGCTGGTGGACCGTCGTTGTCGACGCGAGGTGGCCAACAGGGCGACCGTTTGGTTGGTCTCTCCAGTTTTGTCTGCTTCTTCTCCTACCTGCCAGGAAACTAGTACAGTATCCAATATGGATAGTTGTCAAAAAAAAGGAAAATCCAATATGAATGGGCTGGGTTAAGATAGCGCTGGCAGCGCCGATAGGCCTGGGAAAAGGGAAGGAAGGCCCAACTTAACAAGCTGATCCTCTGAGCCCATGTAGTGAAGTACAACAAATAAATAAGTTCAATTTACTTCCCTCAATTTGTCACCAAGTCAGATGTTCGTCCCTAAACCGAAATACCAGAAACAACGTGTTCCTCAACTCTCAAAACTATTGTGGATAAGGCCACAAGGCGATCTGGATGGTGGTTTCAGCTGACATGGCGCCTACGTGGATGGTTTGACTTTGGTCATCGTCCCACATGGCGTTGACTCCTCATTGATAGCGAAGGAAGGATGAGATAGAGAGTGCCACGTGAGATAAGGATCAAGTCAAACCATCCACGTAGGTACCACCATAGGACATTATTTGCAGTGGTATTGAGAGGCAAGGGAGGGAGGTGTTGTATATGGTATTTCGGTTTATGGACGAATTTCATACTTCGTGATATATTAAGACCCAAAGTGAACTTATTCCTATAGCAAAGGGGTCGAGATTCTGTGGCCGTGTTCTGCGTATTGGACCCTTTCCTGAGACAGCCATTATAGATCGTTGGAAAAAGTCCACCTTACAGTTATGGGTCAAGTTTTAATTCATGTCATCCAACCGCAATACTAGGTATAGAGCATCTCTCAACTATCAAAACCAGTATGAATCGAGTCTCTTAGTCGTTTTTTTGATGGTTTGGCTGACGTGGAATCCTAATCAGCATGAAAAAAATTAAAAATATATAGGACCCATATATCAGAGGGACCCATCTCTACTCCTCCATTCTCTCTCTCTCTCTCACTCTCCCTCTGTGTGTGTGTGTGTGGACCTATGGACGCACGGCGGAGGAGTGCAGCAACGGGTGGAGGCCTTCTACTAGCTAGGCAGAGGAGCTCGATGTTGGCCGCCGCGTCGCTCGCCCTCTCTCAAGGCCTGCCGCAGGAGCTACGACAACAAGAGCTCCGTCCTGATCATCCACCCCGCGTTGTTGCATCAAGTGGAAGGATGCCATGTACAACGTCGACCGCAACCTCAGCGGTCGCATGTACCTGTCGGTAGCGATGGAGAAAGGGAACATGGCTACCCAAGGAGGTTTTGCCCTGGTGAGCGCCATTGCATCCCCATCGACAACGGGCCGGAGCTCGAGCCCCCAGCGCCTCGCCCCACTGCCAGATTTGCTCTCCCCAACCATGCTCGCTCCTCCAGCGACTATGCCGCCAAATCCACCCATCTCCATGCGCGTGGGCCTCCGCTGGAGCTGGCTGACACTGGAGCTCAAGCCCCCAATGCCTTGCCCTCCACCAGAACACCGCTCCCCCAACCTCCCCCCACCTGCCGCTCTAGCACCATCAACCGCCGCCTTCTCAATTTCCTCGACCCACACGTCCCACCGGAGAGGAAGGCGGAAAGGGAGCTTGACGCCGACACCAGGGTGGAGAGGGATTAAGGAGGAGCGGAGGCCGGCAGCCACACTGGATGCTAGTATTGACAACGAAACGGTTGGGATGGCCGACTATTGCTGTCATCTGGGTGCCCACTTCTCTCTGCCGTCGGCGCCGCTATCTTGGCCGACCAACTGAGGCCGTCAAGGGGAGGGGTCAACCAGAGAGAGGATAGAGAGGACGATGGAGAGAGAAAATAAAGAGGAAAGAAAGAAGGAATGGTTGGGATGACATGTGGGCTTAGGGTTTCTATATTATTTTCCTTTGTGCCTAGCATGTGGGACTATTTTTATTTATATTTTCTGATTCTTATATCACGTAGATGCCACGTTAGATGAAGATCAAGTCAATAGTGTCATGTGGTATCACGTCAGCCAATACCGTTGTCCAAACCACCTTGGGACTATATTTACACCTGTTTTAAGAGATGAAGAATGTGTTATACCCAGTGAGGGATCTAAAGTGAACTTTTTCATAGGCCGTTTAGCATTTAGGTGGTTTAGTCGCAAGGCCCAAACTCGTGGGGATTAATTATTTCTCTTTACGGACGGCTCCAGTTCCACAACGCATCCCCGTGGATGGAATCTCTGAACCTAATGCCTCTTCATTGTGATATTTTTTTGACGTACACCCTTGTGAAATTTATGCGCCGGTTTAACTCGATGTTCAGATCATTATCTCTCATGGATGTGTACAGGAACCTAGTGAAAGTGTGGGGACTACTATGCCACACAAGTATTCTGACAAGATACGGGTAGCGGAGCAGATGAAAGGTGGAACTTTAGAGTCCGGTTTAATTACTTCGATCACGAGATCAGGGTAAATTTACTCAGCAAAGATGCAGAGATGGTCGAACACGAGATCTCTACTAGATCGTCCGCGACGGAAACCAACGCTAGGAGTAGTATTTCTCTGAAGTCCTGAACAGTGAACATGGACAGGTAGGCGCGACCGAGACACGGAATCCGAATCCCTACGCGTGCGGGCTACCTTACCTCTCGAAGATGGAACAGTGAAATCTACTCAGGATCTCGGCTACACGTGTAACGATCCCCTCAGGCGCAGCCGCTGCCCGAGCGGGAGGGAGCACGGCGCCTGCCAATTGGCCATTGACAAATCATCGCTCGCGCGCGCCGGGCTTCGCTTTGCCCGCTCCGTGTGACTCGCTGCTGTCTCTGCCAGTGGCAGGCAGTTGTTCAGTGAACCTGTCCATGTATTGGCTTGCCGCCATGGCCGGCGCGCGCGCTCTCCGGAGTTCAATTGGGCAGGAAGACGGCAAGCGGCATGTGGTTTTTTATCTCGACTCGAGAGGGGGCAGTGGATAACAAAGAGAAATCCCTTCTGGGGCGTCGCGTCGCGCAGGATCAGGTCCCTCAATTGCCGGCAACTCATCTTCAAGCCATGGCAATCCATTGTTTTATCGATATAATAGTACTCATTCAGCTTAATTACCTCGAGTTCTGAATGTTTCAAGAGGAGGTGTCTCGAGTATTCAGTCAGGACAGTGATAGAGGTAGATTAATCCCTGGTGTTGCCACATGTGTAGTAAACTCTACCATTCGCAAATCAAGAAATACTGTGCAGTTTCCGACAGTGTTCCTGCAAATCAAGAGTAGCGTGTGTATTAGGAGCATGATTGTACTATATTCATAAGTGACCCTTCAAGCGCCCTAATGGCTCACCTAAATGATTACCCCCTTGCTAATTTCAAAAGGACCAATGCTTCGTTTGGTGAATCAAAAGAAGACATAGAAAAAACTCGACTAAATCCGTGAATATACACACGCTTATGTATGTGCGTGCGTATAGAGACCACCTCTCCGTCGCCGTCATCGTCTAACGAAAAATTGCCCGTCTCCCTTCAGAAAGAGAGTGGATCAAACTGGTACAGTATATGTCACCAAATCAAGTATTTGAGGTGTATAATACGTAAACTCGAGGTATATAGATACGTATTCTATACAGCTAGCACAGTAGTGCGTTATAAACAATAGACTGCCACAATCATTACTGTCATTGTGTACGTACAGTTGACACTCGTGGCAATTATAAAGTTGCTAGTGTTGACTTTCTCCTGTATATGTTCGTACAATTATTTAGTGACCAAATATATTTTTAGATAGAATAAAGCTCGACCTTTACTTCAAAGAAGTTACAACCACTTATTACAAATATCCGCTCAATAAATAGCACGTAACACTACCCACAAAGAGAGCACACAAAATTCAGGAAGTGCAAATATATATATTTGGTGACCAGTCTCACATCAGATTATGTTAACAAAGATGTACTCCCTCCGTCCAAAAAAACGAATCTAGAATTGGATGTGACGCATTCTAGTACAATGAATCTGGACAGAGGTATGTCCAGATTAGTAGTACTAGGATGTATCACATCCAGTATTAGGTTGGTTTTTTATAGGATGGAGGGAGTAAGCAGCAGGGTTAAAAAAAAAGAGATAATCCATTCTATGCCATTGACAAAGCATGGATTCAACAATATACCATTGATAAAGCTCAGTTCTATAATATACCATCGAACAACTACTTTTCTTCCTTACATGCCATCGCCGCCAGTCAACAGTTAGTCAAATTCTGTTAAGAGCAAAAAAATGTCTATTTTACCCCTAGGGTACGATGCATCCTCATCGATTTCACTGATCATGATTCACTATTTATTCTCATTGATGAAAAATTGAAATTGCTTGTCTTTTTATCATCCAAGATTTTTTTACCGCGATATGGCATTATGCAAAATCTCAATTTTATGCTAGGGGTAAAATGGTCATTTTTCATCTTTTAACGGCGGTTGACTAACGTCGATGGCATATAAGGAAGAAAATGAGTCATTCGATGGTATAGTGTGGAACTGAGTTT